AATAGAGGTGAATCATAATTTTAGTGAGCCTCGTATGACAACAGAGCGTGACTTGGCAAATCTGCAATGTGACTAAGAAACAATTCACAATGCGTGGTTAATTGTAATGCTAATAGTGTATGTAAGGGTGTACATGTATGTGCATTCCTGTCCCCAGTTCTTTCCCGCGTGATCAATCGAGTTCTACCCATGCGCATTGAGTATGTGACCTCCGACCTGTATATCTTTCAATTTCACATGTGCTGATTTCAGTCTGGCGTGTCTTTTCGGATACCGGCTTATTGAGATTTTTGGCAGTGAGACTGACACGAAGGTGACGGATTCGAGCGGTGACACTGTAGTGATCAAACACAGCAGTCTGACTAGTGTATTCCGCTCCGAAAATACTTGACACGACAGCGGTGTGGTGAGCAGAATTTATTTTAGGTAAGTCAGTGATACTGCGATTTTAAACCACAGATGATCAGTACAGTGCTGTCATTTACACATTCTAAAATCAATACACACGCATTCGGCTGTTTCACGTCTTATCGGTTTTCTGTATTTTTTTTATTTTTTCCCATCTGCGATCTTGAAAATAACGTTTGATCATGGAGCTAAAAAAAGCTCCATGGTTTGATCGAATTGAAGAGATTGGCAGTTTGTTGACGTTGCTGTTATCCCCAGTGCCGTATCTTGACTTATTGATATTGGTAAAAGCGGATGAGCGTATTTATCGTGATTAGTAAACTCTTGAATATATGATATGTACATTATCTTCTTTTTTTTTCGAGAAAATTAACTTGATAAGTGTGAAGTGTTTGAAGTCATTCCAATGTTGATCTGTCACCATGACTATGTTTATTTTATGCGAGTCTGGGTATGACTTGGCAAATTTGTAATGTAAAGGCGTGGTTTCTTGTGATAGTTATATGTAAGACCTTATGTAATTACCATTAGGTAGGCTATTTGCAATGTTTGCTTTAGTAATCGGTGAATACACTAAAAAATGTATGCAACTTTTATAACAATGCACGAGTACGTCACTGAAAGCTCTCTTGTATTAGAATTGCAAAGGTCCGATTTATTAGCCACAACACTATCTTCAGAAAGATCACCATTTAAGTCGGTAATGTTACACAAAATAAGGGTAGCAATACTAACAAAAAAAATTTGGCTTTCTCAGTAATTATGTCATTTTAGTTCATTGTGTTATACACTTTGTTATCCTGTGTCGTTGCATTAAGTCAGGGATGAATCTTGAAACTTCGTCATGTATCTGTTGTCTTTGCTTATTATAGAAAGAGACAAGGTATAAGGAATTGAAATGCATCTCTGATTTTGTCTTCATTCATAAATCAGGATATATAAATGTTAGTTTTACATGAATGGTGTACCGGTATGTCGATCTTGTTGTCACCAACAGCTTGGAGTTCCTCTGGAGGCAAGTTTCATTGCAGAAACAGATATTAGTATGCTAATTGGTCATGCAATTACTTGCAGCAAGTACAATCCTCGCATGCATTAGCATTTCTACTAAATTCTAATTAATTAGCTATAGAAGTACTGGTACTTTCAGTTCATGTTTGTTGTTTTTTTTCTGCCAAAATATAATGGGATACTTGTTTATGTGAAAAGATTTCAATTAACCCCCCTCCATTTGAAATGGTCATCCCTTAAAGTTGCATTACAACGTAGTATTATATGCAGAACATCTTTCACATTAATGTAATTAAAACGATCAGAAATATTACCTCTGAAACAATTTTGATGCAAATATGTCAAATTATCAATATTTAATCTAAAATAGATTGGAAATTTAAAAGTGACATGATGATCTCATCTTAAGGAAAAGGTCATTTAGAAAATAATCAATTGTTTCATTAAAATCTTGAAATGATAATTTCCTCTATAAAACATTACAATATAAAGGCAACTGTGTCAACATATTCTGTCAATTCTAATACGTTACCGTAGCATTTGACGTACGCTTCTCAAGCTATGCGTAATGCGTCATCAAAAAACCATGGTAACAGTTTTATTCTGTAATCTGTATTTTAGATAGAAAAACTCGTAGCTTTATAGCGCTATACATTTCACCTGAGTGAATAACTAATTTTCTGCAAGAGCAGACTTTATTTTGTCTCAGAGTAATTTATCATGCCAATTATAGTCAGAGTTGCAGTGTTTGTGAAGTTATATAGCTATATTAATACTAATTGCTTGACTGTTGAATAGAAATTGCATTTGACCTGTGGCTGTCACTAAAATCTCACTTGCATGGCTATTATTGACAAGCTAATACCATTGCTGTTCAGTTTACCTTCATAACCACGGTGATGGTAAAATACATTTCTACTTCAGCTTCCAGAAGAAGAAATAACGTAACATCGGTTCACTCTGATGTCCATAATTAGTAAAATTATATTCCGGTATCAAAGAAATATTCCATTCAAAGAAATTATAATCTGAGAATTTGCATTACATTATGTTTTCATAACCAATGAATGAAGAGATGAAGGATGAAGGGATTTATAGTGAGTAAACCAGTATCGCTAAGTTTAACTATTAAGTAAGTAAACACCGTACGGTTATGCAAGTGTCTGTTGCTAGGCAACAATTGAATGAGTAATTTCCCAATTCCCAGCACAAATTAATTTATGCGTAAATGCAAGAATTCCTAGGTGTTATTCATAGATGGAATATTACTTGAAATTATGTAATCAGACGTTATTATTAAGTTGGCTGACTATATATAGACCACAGTGAGATTTTTAAACTATAAATATTATAAATACTTATAAAAAAATTATTTTATTAACTTGTGTTGAATACTTTTTTTTTAATTATAATTTTTGGCTATCATTCTATATAAAACTGCTTTCAAGGAGGCTATATTATTATCAAAGTACTTTCCTATGCAGTGTGGCAGGCAGGAAAGAGAGGCGAGTGTGGAGATGAGGTGAATGTTGTCCCAAACACTAAATACTTATCATTGTGATATAGCAACATTTAACAGTTTACTGTTACTGTTCAGCAGTGTGACAAACGTGGATAGAGTATATGGTTGTGTTCACGTTACACAAAGTACGGGCTAAGATTTAAGCGGATTTAGGCTTATCTAGCATATTTGCATTTCAGCTAGACCCAATTGCGTCCACGCACAGGGAGGGCCAGTCGTTAGCACGGGCTAAGGGCTGCCATTAGTTGGTGACCTTTGGTAAGCCGCTATTTACGAACGAAAAATAGATGACACGCGCGAGGTTCTATTTCTGCTGCTGGCATGTTTCGTTCTAATTTTGAAGCGACGTGCACAGGAACGCGAGAGAAGACGGACCACTTATTTGGATGCACATAAACAGTATACAACGGGCGTAACAGAATACAGCGTTTTATTAATGCATGTCGTAGACAGCGAACCAAATTTATTTTGTCTACGATTGAAGCTGCTATACGCTCTACTACAGTGACCCGATTAGTGTGGAAGTGAGCGCGGAGTAATGACTGGTGGAATAGTGTCGTTATACGAACATGGGACAATTTTCATACCCAAAGGTCGCCGCAGAGGGCGCTTAGCCCTGGGCTAAGCGTTCGCGCATACTTTGTTTGCCCGTGCTAAGGTCTAGACTGTGTCTTAAATTCGGATCAGATTTAACCCGTACTTAGCATTCCTTAGCATGTGCTATGCGTTCACGCACGTTTTCTTAGCACGGGCTAAGGAATTTGACCTCTTAGCCCGTGCTAGAGTAGCAAAAGTGTACAATACTT